TTTTTTTTTGAGTTGGAGTCTCACTCTGTCCCCCAGACTGGAGTGCAGTGGCCGCTCCCGGCCATTGCAGCCTCCACCTGCTGGGCTCCGGTGTTCCTTCCACCTCAGCCTTCCAAGTAGCCGGAACTACAGGCGTGCGCTGCCACACCCGGCTGATTTTTTGATTTATTGTAGAGATGAGGTCTCACTGCCCAGGCGGGTCTTGAACCCGCGGGCTCAGGCAATCCACTCACCTCAGCCTCCCAAAGGTGCGGGATTACAGGCTGAGCCACTGAGCCCGGCTAAACAGATTTTTTTAACGTGTGCTTTTGTTAAGTGTGGGCACAACCCTGAGTGTGTATCTCCAACACTTTATTTAGTCTAATACTTTTGAATGGCTGCCACAGGCTGATCATTCTGTGAAATGCCATGGATATTAAAATGAATAAAACCATAATCTCTGCCTTCAAGTATCATACAGTCAAGGAGGGTAAGTAGACAAACAGCTAATAACACTGTTAATTATGGTATGATAGAGTAAAAGTTCTAGTAAAGTGGTATAAGTTACTGTGAGAATATCATTGAACAAGTGATTAATTTTATCTGGATGATGGGAGAGCTTTATTCACATTCAGAGGCATATTAAGCTGGTCATTGAAGACTAAATTATTCAACAGGTGGTAAAAGTACAGAAGAAACATTCTTGGCAGAGGAAAAAACCCGAGCAAAGATATAGAAGGTGAAATTTATGGCATGTTTCAAAAATGGGTTCTTGCTCAGTGATGATAGTAGATCATGGAATGTATTGGACTCTTCATATCACCAAAATGATAATATGTGCCCTAAATATGATAGGATACTTGTGGGAGTAGAATGAAATAGGACCATAGGATTATGACAACTGTATATTTATTTTCTATTTGTTTTTGTTATTTGTTGAGGTTGTGATAGTAGATAAAAAAGAAAAGGTATGGAAAAGTGGATCAAATAAGAGGATTGAAGTGACACTACAAAATTGAGTATAGAAAACCTGGATTTAAGTTTTTATAAGTGTTCCTGTAGGAAATACCTTTTCTGTGGCAAAGGAATACACCAAACCTATGTAGTTTTGTACTTCTTTTTAATTATGTCTCCTAGATACAATGTGAATATTGTACTGAAATTTATTATTATTATTTTTTTAGGTGGTGAAAACAGTTGGTTTGCGTGAGGTCTGGTTTTTTGGGCTGCAGTATGTAGATAGCAAAGGCTATTCAACATGGCTTAAACTAAATAAAAAGGTAAAATATGTATGATAACATTAAAGTAATAATTGGGTTAATTTGAAGTTATCATGAATTTGTGCTGGAAAAGCTGAGAGTCTGACTGATTCCAAGCCTTCTTTTAATCATTAAAAGGTGTTGTGTCTTTTTTTTCCTAAGTTGGAGTCTCACTGTTGCTCAGGCTGGAGTGCAGGGGCACGCTCACGGCCACTGCAGCCTCGACCTGCTGGGCTCCGGCGAACCTTCTGCCTGAGCCTTCCAAGTAGCTGGAACCACAGGCATGCACCACTACACCCGGCTAATATTTTGGTTTATTGTAGAGATGAGGTCTCACCAAGTTGTCCAGGCTGGTCTCAAACCCCTGGATTCAGGCAGTCCTCTCGCCTCAGCCTCCCAAAGTGCTGGGATTTATGGCTTGAGTCACCGCACCCTGCCCTAAGAGGTGTCATGTCTTTTAATTCAGTAGGCACCATTAGCCTACCATCTTGGGAAAAAGAAATGCTTACTTTCTGATTTGAAAACTTAGCTTATATTATGTTAGGCCAAGTACAGTGGTTCTCACCTATAATTCCAGTACCTTGGGAGGCTGAGGTGGGAGGATTGCTTGAAGCCAGGAGTTTAAGACACAGTCTGGCAGCATGGCAAGACCCCATCTCTAACCCCCACCCCCCCCCAAAAAAGAAATGTTTACAAAATGCTCAGCACAGTGCCTGGTCCATAGTGAGGACATTGTACAAATGGAAAAAGAAACAAACAAACCAAAAAAAAGACTCACGCGTTGCAAACAGTGTGCTAAGTACGTTGACTTTGATTTAAACGTCTGTAGGATAAGTTCACAAATATGAAGAAAAACTTTTAGTTTGCTTATTAGATAGAATCTGTGAATTATAGGTCATATTTGTGAGCATTGGCATCTTTTTTTCTCACATATACATGCTTGTAGATTTAGAATATTGCACACTGGAATCCTCCTTAATAGATTGGGAATGTTCTATTTCACTTCCTACCTTCTTTCAAAAAGTGTTTAATGTGATTAGTTTGTTATAAACTTAAGACTTCTGCTGATTATACTTGAAATTACTGTTCCAGGTGACACAGCAAGATGTTAAAAAAGAGAATCCTTTACAGTTCAAGTTTAGAGCTAAATTTTTTCCTGAAGATGTTTCGGAGGAATTAATTCAAGAAATAACCCAGCGACTTTTCTTCTTGCAAGTTAAAGAAGCCATCTTAAATGATGAGATATATTGCCCGCCAGAAACTGCAGTTCTCTTGGCTTCCTATGCCGTCCAAGCCAAGTATGGAGATTATAATAAAGAGATGCATAAACCCGGCTATCTGGCTAATGATAGACTCCTACCCCAGCGGTGAGTGAAACATGCCTTTATCTTATGTTCTCTGAAAATTATATGCCAGAAGTTTGTAAATAAAAAATAATTAAAAATCATGACGTAGGCTACATAGATTTATATGCTCTGTAATTACTGAAACTGATTTACCTCTTCTTCCATTCCCATAGGGCAGGCAATAAATGGAGACTGATGCTTAAGGTTTGAGGGAAGGGTACAACTATTGCTGCTTAGTGAAAATTCTGACACAGGCAGATAAGTAGTTAATACATGCTTTTGAGAATAAGAGGAAGGCTATTTCCTTCACAGAGTTAAGTTTCTAGGTTTTTAAGAAGGCTTTTTAAGCTAGATTTTTATTTGATTAATTAATTAATTATTTCCAGTTGGAGTCTTAACTCTGTCGCCCAGGAAGGAGTGCAGGGGCACTCTCATGGCCACCACAGAATTTATTTATTTTTTTGAGTTGGGGTCTCACTCTGTCGCCCAGGCGGAAGTACAGTGGCATGCTCATGTCTCACCGGAGCTTTGACCTCTTGGGCTGAGGCTCCACCTCAGCCTCCTGAGTGTCTGGAACTTATAGCTGTGTGTCACAACACTTGGCTCTTTTTTCCTTTTTTTTTTTTCTTTTTGAATTGGAGTCTCACTCTGTCGCCCAGGCTAGAGTGCAGTGGCACACTCATGGCCACTGCTGCTTCAACCTGTGGGCTCAGGTGATCCTTCCGCCTCAGCCTTCTAAATAGCTGGAACTGAAGACACATGCTACCACGTCTAGCTTATTTTTTGAGTTATTGTAGAGATGAGGTCTCACCAAGTTGCCCAGGCTGATCTTGAACCCCTGAGCTCAGGCAATCCTCTCGCCTCAGCCTTCCAAAGTGCTGGGATTACAGGCTTGAGCCACTGTGCCTGGCTCTTAATTTTTTTTGTAGAGATGAGATCTCATTATGTTGCCCAGGCTGGTCTTGAGCTCCTGGACTCAAGCAATCCTCCTACCTTGTCCTCCCAAAGTGCTGGGATTACAGGCATGGGGTATCATGCCTGGCTTCTAAATTAGGTTTGTAGGTTTCTATACCAGTGCCGTGTTCTTATTTGCAGGCTACTGCTGCCTTTGTAACAGCCATTTAAAAATATGGCATAGGAAAAAAATCATCAGACAGACCTAGACTTTGAGTGCTGATTCGACCCTTTACTAGTTATGTGTCCTTAGATGGATCACCTAAAATCTCTGAACCTCAGTGTCTAAGTTGTAAAGTGGGGATGATAATGCTGCTCTGCCTACCTTCCAGTGATGATTGTAATTCATGAACTGTATGGTTTACTGTTGTGATGTAAGTGTTACTTGGTAACATTTATGACATCTAGAAAATGAAACATCAAATACTATTTAAAATATCTCAATTCTTATTAATTTTGGTAGCACACAGGTCATGATATTAGAAAGTACATTGGGAGCTTTCTCTTAGAACCTGTAGAAAGGTTGTTACTATTCTTAGTCCAAATTATTGAATTTAAAAATTTCTATTTAAATACAGAACTGTATATTATTATTAACTATAGATTTCAGTTTTGCGTCATTTCCTTGTAGTACTGAAGCACTTGTGTGTAGTTTCTTTTTCATGGTTACTAAATATGATGAAAGACAAAACTATTTCGTATTCACTTTTGTTATTTTCTTTGATTATAGGTGTTGATGTTTATTTTAGTTAGTAAATGTTTTACCTATTGATACATGCTCTGTAAGTTACCACAAATACAGAAATTTTAAAATGTGATTAAATGGATTGGGCGTGGTAGCTCACCGCCTATACTCTCAGCACTGGGAGGCCAAGGTGAGAGGATTGCCTGAGCCCATGGGTTCAAGTCCAGCCTGGGCAACTTGGTGAGACTTCATCTTTACAATAAATCAAAGAGTAGCTGAGCATGGTGGCACATGCCTGTAGTTCCAGTTACCTGGAAGGCTGAGGCAGAAGGATCACCGGGGCCCAACAGGTAGAGGCTGTGGTGGCCAGGAGCCTGCTACTGTACTCTAGCCTGGGCGACACAGTGAGACTTCGACTCAAAAAAAAAAAGTTACCTGGGAGAAGGTAAACTAATGCATGTTGTTCACCAAAAGAATCAGAATATGAGATATTTGTTAGTCTGTGTTTTTCTGGTTTAGATTGTTAATCTAACCTAAGACCTTTGTCTTTGATTTTTTTTAAGCATTAGATTGAATGATGACTAGTACAGTAGAATTCCATTTCAGATAAGGATTAGCTTTTACTTTTAATTGAGGTATAATCTATATTTATTGAAATGTACAATGTATTAGATTTAAATCATTAAATAAGATAAATTTATAAATTTTATAGTCAGAATTACCCTTAACATATTTTTGGATGTTCATAAAAGAATAAGCATGCTTTATCTCAACAAGTACAGATAGTTGTTATTCCAGTGTTAGATCAGATTGCTTTGGGTGATTGAGCAGTAGATGAAGTAACTAGCTTCATTTAATAACTTATGTGATTAAAAATCTTTTAAAGACTAGAATCATGCAAGCACAATTTAATTTATTTTAAATACATGTGTGTTCTAACATACTTTATTTAAAAGAAAGATAGCTGAACAGTTCTGGACAGAATTGCTTGTGGTTGCTAGTGCAAATGCTCTCCAAGATTTGGTCTTTAATTTTGCAGGTTGTTCTTCTAGAGTTGATAGTCTATGGAGGACTAAGTCAAGCTATTTAAACTTAAAAGATTTAATCATAATTTTGGTTTAGAGCAGAGAAATTACCTTCATAGTATGATGTATATAGTACATTTTCTCAATATCTAAATACAGCCTATGGAGGAAATAAGTAATCAGAATATTATGTGGTGATAAGGCAAACAAAATAGTTTGATGATTCTGATGGATTCTTAATACTTCTATTGGAAAAACCCAAATAAACAGTCTGTTCTTCTATAGTAGAGTTTAGCTCTCTGATGATATGGATAATCAGCTCTACCAGATAGTATTGCTTCTCTTTGAAAAGACCTATGTACGTAAATTTTTACTGTCAGGTTTCTTGTACAGCTGGTGGTTGGTAATACCTTTTATTAAGATAAGGAGGCAGGCTGGGCTCGGTGGCTCAGCCTGTAATCCCAGCGCTTTGGGAGGCCGAGGTGAGTGGATTGTCTGAGCCCGCGGGTTCGAGACCTGCCTGGGCAACTTGATGAGACCTCATCTCTACAATAAATCAAAAAATTAGCCAGGCGTGGGAGTGCATGCCTGTAGTTCCAGCTACTTGGAAGGCTGAGGCGGAAGGATTGCCGGAGCCCAGCAGGTTGAGGCTGCGGTGGCTGGGAGCGTGCCACTGCACTCCAGTCTGGGCGACAGAGTGAGACTCCAACTCAAAAAAAAAAAAAAAAATTGAGGCTAGGGGAGACTAGGCGTGGTGGCTTAAGTCTGCAACCCCAGGACTTTGAAATGAAAGGCCGATGGGGGAAGGGGAGGGGGGGAGGATCGCTTGAGGCCAGGAGTTCAAGGCCAGCCTGAGCAGCTTAGTGAGACCCTGTCTCCATAACGATAATGAAAAATTGAAATGCATTGTAAAAAAGTAAGGGGAAGGAAAAAATACATTTGAGGAAGATGAATTCAGTTTTGAACCTATTGAGTTTGAAATATGCATAGTATAGCCAGAAGAGTTATATAGCATTTATTTGCCTATTGAGTCTGGATCCTTTAGAGTCGTCTTGGACTATAGATTCAATTTTGAGAGTAATCAACAAATAAATGGTAACTAATCCATGGGAATGAAAGAGGTCTACCTGGAAGTAAATAAAACGAGAAAAAGACCTCGGACAGACTTTGTTGGACTTCGGCTTTGAGTGCAGAGAAGAGGGATCCACAGAGTTGGCCCTCCTTGTCTGTGGGTTCTGGATCTGCAGATTCAGCCATCTGCAGTTTAAAAATATCAGAAAAAAATCTGAGTTTCAAGTCAGTGACAAGAAAAAGAGTTTTTTAATTTGAAAAAAATAAAGACAAAAAATAGTACAGCAATAAAATAATAAAAATTTAAAATACAGCATAACTATATGATGTTTACATTGTATTAGGTATTATAAGTAATCTAGAGATGATTTAAAGTATACGGGAGGATGTGCATAGGTTATATGCAAATGCTGCACCATTTTATATCAGGGACTTGAGCATCCACAGATGTTGGTATCTGTGGGGAGTCCTGGAACCAATCCCCCATGGATACAGAGGGACAACTGTACTGAGAAAAAATGGCCAGAGATTCAAGAATAATACCAGAAGAGTGTTATGTCATGGAAGCCAAGGTAAAAGAATGCTTTAAGGAGAGAATGGTCAGCACTGTCAGATAGTACAAAGAAGTTGAGTATGTGGAGAACCAAAGTGTCTGTTGGAATAAGGAGATTGGTAGTGACCTTAGTAAGAGCAGTTTCAGTAGAGTGCTGGGGGTGGAAGCCAAATTGTGGTGGATTAAGGGCCGTGGGTGTCAGGTATGGAAGTTGAGGTTAGTGAATATGGATAACCCTTGAAGGAAGTTTGACTATGAAAAAAGAAAAAATTCGGGGTTGGGAAGCATGGGTTTCTAGACTTGTTCTCTAGAAGGGGGAAAACAGGTTATTTTAATTTATGTATTTATTCTACAAATTCTTGAGTATTTCTTTAGTGCTGGCACTGGGCATATAATGGTGTACAGAGGGCTGCATTAGATTATGTCTCAGGCTGATTGCATGCCTCTTGGTGAGCCCAGAGGCTAGACAGCAAGAGAGAGAGTACACAGGCCAGGAAAATGTGGAAAAGTAAGTACTCCAAGGAGGAAGACAAAACTCTTCCCAGAAGGCAAGAGCTTGAAAAAGACTACAGTGAGAAAGGAACAGAGTGTAGAAAGAACACAGTGGTGTATCTGGGACTCCAGTACTAGGAATCTACTCCAAGCAGTATGTAACTTACCCAGGGTAAGATTTTGTCCTAAGATTCTTTTATACTGCCAAGAAATCTCTGGGTTTCATGCAAGATTTTTATGTGGTAAAACAACAATATTTTTATACCACAGCTTTTGCAATCAGTAAAGTAGAATCTGGAGATTCACCTGTAAAGAAAGATAGTAGCTGGGCTTGGTGGCTCAGCCTGTAATCCCACGCTTTGGGAGGCTGAGACGAGTGGATTACCTGAGCCCGAGGGTTCACGACCTACCCGGGCAACTTGGCGAGACCTCGTCTCTACAATAAATCAAAAATTAGCGGAGTGTGGTAGTATGCGCCTGTAGTTTTGGCTACTGAGGCAGAAGGATCGCCGGAGCCCAGCAGGTCGAGGCTGCAGTGGCCGGGAGCAGCCACTGCACTGCACTCCAGTCTGGGTGACAGAGTGAGACTCCAACTCAAAAAAAAAAAAGAAAGGTGAATAGTTATGATCCAAAGAGAATAGAAATCATAGCAAGTGTACTTTTTATATATAGATATTTATATAAATATAATTGACATCAGTTCATGTTGGCTTTGCTGATTTGGTGTTAAAATATTAGTCGTAGAAAATAAACCCATTTGTATTTGCTTACATTTGAGTAAGGAACCCTTCAAGGGTACAGAGAAAACTAATACACATTATTGGGAAGTATTGGGTGGCAGTATAGCATTTCACTGTGTACTCAATCTGAAAGTGTACCTACATAAAACAATAAAATTAGTAGCAAAAATGTAAATACAGAGAGTAAAGAGTTAATTAGGGCCTAAGAATACTGTTTTTTAATTTTAATCTTTTTTTCTGAGTTGGGGTCTCATTCTGTCATTCAAGCTGGAATGCAGTGGTGCCATCCACAGCTCACTGCAGCCTCTACCTTCAACTCAGTTGATCCTCCCGCCTTAGCCACCCTAGCAACTGGAACTACATGTGTGCGCCACCATGCTTGGCTAATTTTTTAAATTTTTTGTAGAGACGAAGTTCTCACTATGTTGCCCAGGCTGGTCTTGGACTTCTGGACTCAAGCAATCCTCCTGCCTTGGCCACCCAAAGTGCTGGGATTACAGGTGTGAGCCACGGTGCCTGGCCACATTTTTTTATTCATGAGAAAGCCATTTTTGGGGTCCAATATTTTATTCATTTGAAATACTTGAATTCCCATAAACCACCTTCATTCATAACTTTCCCTCCCCCAGCCATTTCCTCCTTTCCCTCCCCTCCCTTTCTCTCCCCCTCACCCCCTCCTCTTTTTCCTTTTCAAGATCCATCTGTTGCTTAGGCTGGAGTGCAGTGGCATAATCATGGCTCACTGCAACCTCAAATCTTGGGCCCAAGTGATCCTCCCACCTCAACCTCCATGGTAGCTGGGACTATACGCACATGCCACCACACCAGTTAATTTTTTAAATTGTTTGTAGAAATGAGGTCCTGCTTATGTTGGCTAGGCAACAGTCCTCCCAGCTGGGTCTTCCAAAGTACTGGGATTACAGGCATGAGCTACCATGCCCAGCCATTGATTTTATCTTTCTTTTTTATTTTATTTATTTTTTGAGACAGAACCTCGCTCTGTTGTCTAGGCTGGAGTATAAAAACTATTTTAAAATTATGCATTATTTTAAATAATTTAAGGGTTCTAGAAATTTTATTTTGAAATAATTTTTTAATCAGATACAATTGTAAGAAATAATAGATCCCATATATTTTTCTCCCAGGTTTTCCCAATGGTAACATCTTATATAATTGCAGTACAGTAGTAAAAGCAAGATACTGACATTGATATAGTCTACCCAGATTGCATCACTTACTTATACTTATTTGCGTGTAGGTATTTAGTTTCCTGCAGAGTTAGCTTGTGTATTAATTTTTATGACAATCATCATGGTCAGGTTACTGAAAGAATTCTAAACTTTTAAAAGAATATTGATTTTTGAATTGTAAAGGAATTGTGTTATATTTTTTTCCCTTTAGTGTTTTGGAACAACACAAACTAACAAAAGAACAGTGGGAAGAAAGAATACAGAACTGGCATGAAGAACACAGAGGAATGCTAAGGTATTTGGGTGGTTATTTTCTATGTGTTTTTTCTGAAATCTAAGTATTTTTATTTCATAACATTTATTATTGCATTAGGTTATCTCCAAAAGATCACTTGACTAATATGAGCAAATATAAAACACTGATTTTTAATTCAAGGTATTTTTATAATTTTAGTTTGATATTAGATACTGCTACTTAAATATATTACATTTAGTTTTATTTCAACAGGGAAGACTCGATGATGGAATACCTGAAGATTGCACAGGATCTAGAAATGTATGGCGTCAACTATTTTGAAATAAAAAATAAAAAGGGAACTGAATTATGGCTAGGTGTTGATGCTTTGGGTCTGAATATTTATGAGCATGATGACAAGTAAGTAAATGAGCATGCTGAACTAACCACTATTCAGTAGTCAAAATGGTTTTAATATTATGCCTTATTTGTAAAAGTTGTTTCTTGTCTTGATTACCCCTACTGCTTTTTTCAAATTAAAAGATTTGTTAATGCCACATAGACTTTTAGATAGCATATCTCCATTTTCTTAGCACTCTGCTGCCTCTAAGTGCCTCAGTTATACTTTTTATTGTATTTATGAAACAAAATGATATACTTTTATTTGAAGTGTGCTGCTTTAGCTCCCGTGAGTTATAGCTAATAAGTTAATTAAAATGTGTGCCCTACTGGACGCAGTGGCTCACGCCTGTAATCCCAACACTTTGAGAGGATTGCCTAAGCCCAGGGGTTCAAGACCACCCTGGGTAATTTGGCCAGACCTCATCTCTGGGAAGAAAAAAGTGTGCCCTCAGTAGGTGAAGTGTAATTCCTTAAATGTTTTTATACCTGACAAATAAGTTGAAATTGAAATTAAAATATATAAGACATCAGTAGCACTGAGAGAAAATTAATGAATATATGTTTCTGTGGTTTAGAATATGTTTTTGAATATTTTTGGACTTTAGTAAAATAGGACATTTTTGTTTTATGCGTATATTGAATATCATAATTATATTTTGAAATTGACCAAGCGTTTATTATATATACATGCACACAATTCATCAGTATTGTATTATCCATATTCACAATATATATACATAACTATACATTGTATGTATATTTTATATGTAATTATATATCGTTTGTATATATACCACATAATCTATAAATACTATATGTAGACAATATATTATACATGTATACATAATACGTTAGACTCTTAATGCACTTTTTAGGAATAATGGCTACAATTGTCTTAACACCTTCCTTTAATTTATTTGCCATACCACATAAGCATCAAGTTTATGCCAATAGTGCCTTCTAAGGCAGTATTCTTTATTCTGGATTGGCTTCAGAATTTTAGTTTTCATTATTACAGATATCTAATAGAATATTAATTTAAAAGCATATGTAGTGACTCCAAAAGAGAGCATTATGAATTTCATCATAATATTTTCTCAAGTTTATATTGCAAAGCAAGTTAAAGTGTTATATCAGTCAAAAGAGAAGATTTTGAAGTTTTGGAAAAGCAAAAATGACTTCAAGACCAATTTTGGAGCATGTAATCTTCCTTTTCATTCTTTCTAAAATTATGTTATTAGTTTCTAGGCTCACCTCACGTGATTGTAGTGAGAATTATATGAGGCAGTTGCTTTAGAATTTTTCAATGTGGCATGTAATTGTGGAAAGTATAGTATTATTTAGAAATTCTGTGTTTTTTTTTACAGTCTCCTTTTTAAACAGGTTAATTTGACTTATCTTAGTGGCTCTAATAGGGCAGTATAACACAGGTATATTGAGTAAAGAATGTTTTATGAAAAAAAAGTTATTTGCTGTGCTGCAATACCTAGTGTGTGTAAGAATTAAAAGGAATATATAAGTGGTAGAAATTCATGCTCTGTTATCAAAAGCCAGACTAAATGATGATTTTTGGCCAGCATAGGTGTCAAAATCACTTCTCACTCTTGCTGTTGGAATAACCATGATGCATTTGATAGATAGTCTGAAATAGTAAAATACATGAAAAAGCAGAAAGGAATTGTTATTCCAGTTTGATTCCCTGTATGTTTGTGTGTAGGGTGGAGACAACTGCTGTATAGTCTTAGAGTTTGAATTCCCTTTCTATCATTTATCCAAACACTTGTGTATGTTAGTGTTTAAAATTTTTAAATTGAGATATAATTCATATACTATAAAATTAATCTTTTAAACTGCACGAAAATTAAGTATTTTTAATATATGCACAAATATCCAGCCATGTTAAGATTAAACAGAGGAAGGAAATGCTTTTTGAAATTTTCAGTAATTTATGTCCATAATTCACATGAGAAGGTATAAAGGCCTTGTTCTCTCCCTTCCTTCTTAAACTTGTTTGAACTGATAGTTGTAGAAGATTGAGTCCAAACAGAATAAAAACTAGAGCTAGAGCAAACTCTAAGATAATTTTTTTTTTTTTTTTGAGTTGGAGCCCAGACTGGAGTGCAGTGGCACACTCCCAGCCACTGTAGCCTCGACCTGCTGGGCTCCAGCGATCCTTCCGCCTCAGCCTTCCAAGTAGCTGGAACTACAGGCACGCGCTACCACGCCCGGCTAATTTTTGATGATTTATTGTAGAGATGAGGTCTTGTCAAGTTGCCCAGGCGGGTCTCGAACCCGTGGGCTCAGGCAATCCACTCACCTCACCTCCCCAAAGCACGGGATTACAGGTTGAGCCACCGAGCCCGGCTCTAAGAGGTTTTTTTTAAAGGTAATTTTAGGAAGGTAACTATAATGCTTTTCATGACACATTTCTGAAATCGTTGGATAGTTATCATTTGTTTTGTGTGTTTTAATTTATCAAATTTCTCCATAAAAGATAATGTCATCTGTAGTTATGAGTAAGTCAGTGCATTTTAATAATCTGGAATTCTTAAGGCTAATTATTCAGCTAAACTGAACCTAGAAAGTTATGAATTTTATTAATTGTTTCCTGCCTTTAATTAAAGAGATGCTTTCATTTTTTTAAGGTTAACACCTAAAATTGGTTTTCCCTGGAGTGAAATCAGAAATATTTCATTTAATGACAAAAAATTTGTTATAAAGCCAATTGACAAAAAGGCACCTGTAAGTAAGATTTTAAAATTTTATATATTAACTCTTTAAATATCTGCTGCTTTCCTGTGATGTCACTAGAAGAATGACATTGTGTATTTGTTGAATTTCTTCTGAGGAACATTCTCGTTTCATAGTTCAACTTTTCCAGTAATGAAATAATGAATCTTATTAAAAATACGAGGCACACATTTTTTATAAGATATAAACATTAGCGCTTATTTTATCTGAGATTCAGTTATGAGGTAAGTAATATTTATTAGGAGGTGACGGAAAACAATCACTCCTAAGAACAATTTTTAATAAGTTGTTCATTAGTGGCTAGAATGTCGTAGAAATAGCCCTATTCTAAATTAACTTCATTTAGAATTTTTATAATGAACTTTGTGCTTTTGTTTTTGTTTTTGTTTTTTTTGAGTTTTTTTTGAGTCTCACTCTATTGCCTAGGCTGGAGGGCAGTGGAACGCTCATGGCTACCACAGCCTTGACCTGCTAGGATCAGGTGATCCTTCCACCTCAGCCTTCCAAGTAGCTGGAACTACAGGCATGGGTCAACCATGCCCAGCTAATTTTTTTACTTATTGTAGAGATAAATTCTCACCAAGTTGCCGAGGCTGGTCTCAAACCCATGAGCTCAGGTAAATACTCTCACCTCAGCCTCCCAAAGTGCTGGGATTATAGGTGTGAGCCACCACACCCGGCAACCTTGTTCTTTTGAGACTTGAATGTTAAAAAAAATCGTTTTATTTAAATAGATTTAAAAAATTCTTCTAGGGTCAGGTATGTGTCTTCTGTTAGTTTTTGAAAAAATAAAAGATAGAAAGAGAACATTTCTAAGTTTAAAAAAACTACATCTGTGAACATAGGACCAGTTTTGATATTGATGACAAAAAGCAAAACAAACCAATTCTTCTCTGAGGTGTAAGGAACAGGTGCTCATCATTAATTTGGAGAACAAAAGGAAATAAATGAGGTTTATTTAATGTATTTTTTGTTTTGTTTTGAATCGGAGTCTCATTCTATCACCCAGACTAGAGTGTGGTGGCATGCTCATGGCCACCTTAGCCTTGACCTGCTGGGCTCCAGTGATCCCTCTTCCTCAGCCTTTCAAGTAGCTGAAACTACAGGCATGTGCCACCATTCTCAGCTAATTTTTTGATTTATTGTAGAGACCAGGTCCTATCAAGTTGCCCAGGCTGGTCTTGAACCCCTGGGTTCAGGCAGTCCTCTTGCCTCTGCCTCCCATAGTGCTGGGATTACTGGTGTGAGCCACTGTGCCTGGTGGACATTTAATGTATTAAGAGGATGAGAATATTAGCCTTTTTACTAGACTGGTAGGACATGAAAAGGTGAGGAGCCAGTTTAGTGACAGTATGTCATACTCACTAGGAGTTAGGAAATTTTTAATATTTAAAAAAAAAGGAGGTTAGGAAATTTTATGATTTTTTTTTTGTTTTTGAGTTGGAGTCTACTCTGTTGCCCATGCTGGAGTGCAGTGGCACGCTCACGGCTACCATAGCCTCGACCTGCTGGGCCTGACAATCCTTCCACCTCAACCTTCCAAGTAGCTGGAACTACAGGTGCACGCTACCATGCCCAGCTAATTTTTTTTTTTATTGTAGAGATGAGGTCTCACCAAGTTGCCCGGGCTGGTCTCAAATCTGTGGGCTTAGGCAGTCCACTTACCTTGGCCTCCCAAAGTGCTGAAATTACAGGCTGAGTCACCAAGCCCTGCCTGATTTCTTAACTGTGTGTAATATGACATTAGAATTCATACCTTGGCTGGGTTCGGTGGCTCAGCCTGTAATCCCGCGCTTTGGGAGGCCGAGGTGAGTGGATTACCTGAGCCCGTGGGTTCAAGACTCGCTTGGGCAACTTGGCAAGACCTCATCTCTACAATAAATAAAAAAATTAGCAGGCATGGTAGCGTGTGTCTGTAGTTCCAGCTACTCGGAAGGCGGAGGCGGAAGGATAGCCAGAGCCCAGCAGATCGAGGCTGCAGTGGCCAGGAGCGGCCACTGCACTCCCGTCTGGGCGATAGAGTGAGACTCCAGCTCAAAAAAAAAAAAAAAGAATTCATACCTCATGTTAAAATTTAGTATGCATTGGTAAGAGACTATCTTCAGAAAGTTTTAAATTCAGAATACTTTATCTTTAGGATTTTGTTTTTTATGCACCTCGTCTGAGAATCAATAAGCGGATTTTGGCCTTGTGTATGGGAAACCACGAGCTGTACATGCGAAGAAGGAAGCCTGATACCATCGAGGTGCAGCAGATGAAGGCTCAGGCTAGGGAAGAGAAGCATCAGAAGCAGTTGGAAAGGTATGGACTGTGTTGCCTTCTGTTTCTAATTGATAGGAGTCAGCTGTCTGTGATTGAACACTGCTCAGTTTCTTTAACATCCCCTAAATTTACATTTTTACATTATTTTCATTGTATTTACATGGAAAGATGGGATTATCGCTCTTTTAAGACAAGTGTGTATAATTTTCAAGTTAGAAATCCTTGACAGATATTTTTGAGAAAATGCCTTTTCATGCCTTCACAAACGTGTTTCTTTTATCATGCTTGCTTTTGGCTCACAGCCATGGTTTTGGATATAGTAGTTTGAAGTTTTCAAATTTGTTTTACTTATGACTCATATTTCTTAAGTTTTCTGGGTAAGAATGTCCTAAATACTTAACTTTGAAACAGTGTTAATGACATTGTAGATCTCAACTGAAAAGTCACTGTTCAGGATAGGATAACAGTATACCTGGTCAAAGATACTAATCCTTTTAACTGTATTTTCTTTTGCCCTTGCAAAAAATACCATTAAGTATATTAAATTGAGAATTTTTTTAACTGTATGATATTGAGTAAAATCCTTATCGACCCTGAAACCAGATTACCTCCAGCAATATTAATTCTAAATCCAATTCTAGATTAATTTAGACTTTTGTGCTTTATTTGAAAAATTTACAGGCTAAGCTAAAGTTTTACTTTATTGAGAAAATTTTTATGGAACAATATGATAATCTAAGAAATAGAATAAGTTTTTTTTTAAAAAAACTGAGGAGCCTTGAACATGTATAAACATATATACTTTAAACATATTTGATATAACGTAATTTTTATCGAGTAACTAAGTAGGCCCTCTGCCACTTTACTACTCTATTTTTAGTGTTTGTATTTAATTATTTTTTTCTTAACTGTTATGTAATTAAGAAATTTTATTTATTTTGTGATACCAACTCAAATTATCTGCTTTAGATAAATTAATTTCATAGTAAAACATTTGTACGAACATAAAACTTGCTGGAAATTATGAATCGTACCATTAAAGATACTAAATTGGGGGTCTGGGTGTGGGGCATACACCTGTAGTCCCAGCTATTTGGGAGGCTGAGGGAGAGGATCTTGCAAGGCCAAGCATTTGAGGCCTGTCTGTGCAACAGAGCAAGACACCTTCTCTCCTTTTTTACTGCTCTCATTTGCCTTAGGATTGCATTGTGGTTTTATTTTTTAATTTTTTGTTTCTTGAGTTGGAGTCTCACTCTGTCACCCAGGCTGGAGTGCAGTGGCATGCACTGTGTATTTTGTTTAACACTTGTTTATAATATTGATATACTATTTGCATCCTCAGTGTATTTGTTTATATGTCCTTTAGTTCATGGCACATAGAAGAGTGCTGTATGGCTTCTAGGATCTATAGTGTGTTTAATTAGGATCATTTGGTGATGGTGCTGTATATATATATATATTTTTTGAGTTGGAGTCTCACTCTGTCGCCCAGACTGGAGTGCAGTGGCCGCCCCCAGCCACTGCAGCCTTGACCTGCTGGGCTCCGGCGATCCTTCCGCCTCATCCTTCCAAGTAGCCGGAATTACTGGTGCATGCTACCACGCCCAGCTAATTTTTTTGATTTTATTGTAGAAATGAGGTCTCGCCTGCCCAGGCGGATCTTGAGCCCACGGGCTCAGGCAATCTACTCCACCTCAGCCTCCCAAAGGCGCGGGATTACAGGCTGAGCCACCGAGCCCGGCTGATGGTGCTATATTTAGTTACTGGATAGAAGTGGAAAACTTGAGTCTCTTTTTTGGCACAAAAATCCATGGTTCCTCTCTTGGATAAATTTTACAGCTTTTCATCAGTAAGCATTTATTGGTTGATTTATACACAGTAGGATTTAAGCAACTGTTTAAGTCATTCAAATGCCTAGATTTCTGTTGTTGTTGTTTTGATTTGGGGGTTTCAGTCTTTTGCCCAGGCTAGCATGCAGTGGCGTGATTATGACTCACTGAAGTCTTGATCTCCTGTGCTCAAGGGGGTCTTCCTGCTTCAGTCTCCCATGGAGCTGGGGCATTCCTCTCACCTTGGCCCCCCAAAGTGCTGGGATTGCAGGTGTGAGCCCCCACACCTAGCCAAAATTATTCTTATTGAAGTAGTGATTTGAATAATGATTAAATAGAATAATAATGCAAATAGTAAATCTAATTTTTCCCCACTCATTCCGCCTTGTATACATGTTTTGTACATGGGGATATATTTGACAGTTATATTTTCCAAGCAGTTTTGTAAGCTTGTCTTTGAAAATCTTCCCCAAGTGTCTAAGTTTTTAATATTTCTTTTTTTTAATATTTAATTTTAAATATGTGGAATACAATTCAGGGTTAGGTGTACAAATGTTCATTATGTAAGTACCCTTGTTGATGAGGTGTACCTCCCCTCCCTGGCAGTTTCTCATTACTGCCAGTCCTTTTCTTACAGTATTACAATAGTTGTTCAAGGTCCGCTTGAGACCATGTCATATTCGGTTCTTTGTTTCTGTGATAGATCACTCAGTATTATAGCCTCTAAGTCCATTCAAATTACTGTGAAGTTCATAATTTTGTCTTTCTTTATGGCTGCTGTTTCCTAAAATAGTCACCCACTGTTTTTATTGTGACCCCACAATTGGAACCCAGCACATGTATATGTACATATATGGGTGTATGTAGTAGCATAATCCTGTGTTTATAATCATATGCCATTTTGAGCACAAGTGAAAATAATGAAAACTCTGTTAAAATATTCATGTTGTAGTTTCTTAGTTGATTTGAATATAGTACTTAGATTTCACATGAATAACATTCTGTCTATTAATTTGTAATATAGCAATTGTAATTCCTTTTAAGGGCACAATTAGAAAATGAAAAGAAAAAAAGAGAAATAGCAGAAAAGGAAAAGGAAAGAATAGAACGTGAAAAGGAAGAGCTGATAGAGCGTCTAAGGCAAATTGAAGAACAAACATTGAAAGCCCAGAAAGGTAAGGTTTCTTTTTGACGAGGGTTTCAAAATCTTTGCTCTGTTATCAGATAGTGGGGTTTTTTTTTTTTTTGGTCTTTTTTGCTATTATTAAATCTTACTTGTGGTTATCTAGGGCAGTTGCATATTTAATTACCAAGTTACTATTTCGTGGAATTGCATCATGAACATGTTTAAGGCACATTCAGTTATACAGTGCTCATGTTCTTTCTAATTTACTTAAACATGCGAATATCTTTCATGGTTATGCTAAAATATTCTAAATGACTATATATGCTAATTTATACCTGTTACTGTTCAGGGTTCTAGAAACAGAAGACATATATAGTCAACACTTTATGACTTTTAAACAAAAGCATTTATGCAATGCTTTATGATCATTTAAGTACCTTAAAGCATTAAAGTAACTTAAAGCAATTTCAGCTAGTCTAGCTATATAAACTATTTTGGAACTCCTAAAAAAATATTTAATTTAAGTGTATTAGAAAATACAGAATAAGCCGGATGCTATGGCTCACGCCTGTAGTGCCAGCACTTAGGGAGGTGGAGGTGAGAGGGTTGCCTGAGCCCAAGGGGTTCAAGAGCAGCTCGGGCTACTTGCAGAGATTTCATCTCTACAATAAATTAAAAATTATCTGGGCATGGTGGCACAGGCTGTAGTTCCAGCTACTTAGAAGACTGAGGCAGAAGGATTGCCTGAGCCCAGTAGGTCGAGGCTGCCGTGGCCACGAGCGTGCCACTGCACTTCAGCTTGGGCAACAGTGAGACTCCAACTTAAAACAAAACAAAACCAAAAAACCCCCAGAAAATGCAGAATACATAGATGTGTTATATTTTGTGTTTGTTTGTTTTTGGTAACATGTATGGAAGAACTTCTTAGGTAGTATGGGACCAAAATGCTAAGTATATAGAAAAGATATGCTGGATTTGCAACATGTGGTTTATGTTAAGTAACTTGAGGATGTACTACTTTCACACAGCAGATAGTGGGAGAGCAAGAAGAAAAAAAGTATTGAGCAGGATTAAATGCTTTTCTCCTTTCCAGGCAGTCAGATCTCAGGGGTAATGTGAAATCTACACTGCTTATAAAACTGTTTAATAACCTGCTTTCCTAATAACTAGTAGAACCATCTCTACAGTTCTGTTGGAAATAGCCAATACTGGTTGAGTATCCCTCATCTGAAATGTTTGGGACCAGAAGTGTTTCAGATTTTTTCAGGTTTTAGAATGTTTGCATTGTTCAATTGAGCACCCCAAATATGAAAGTCCAAAATTCAAGTGCTTCCTTTGAACATCATGTTGGTGCTCTAAAAGGTCTGGGTTTTGTAGCATTTAATATTTGGGGTTTTTGGATTAAGGATACTCAACCTGTAGTCTTGTTCGAGGTTTATTTTTATTTCTTACACTAGCCTACTGTGGTGGGGAGATGCTTTGAACAATGGGTAGAATATTTGCAAGAGGGTAGCTCAAGAGGAAAGTCACAATGATTGCTTTAAATCCACAAACTGGTTGATCATTTCAATTCCAAGAGGATTGGAAATAATATTTCTAAGAGAAGAAATAGAAAGAACCTAGGTTTTATTCTGATTCATTAGAAGAGCTACTTCTCAGAGTAAAAAATAGAAAATTTAGAAACGAATTCAGTGTAAAGCCTGACAATAGCAAAGCATTTGTTTGTAGGCCACAACTCTGGGGCAGAGATTGTTTCCTGAATTCCAGTGTGTGATTCCTAACACTCTCGTTGCCTTTTCCATCAATCAAAACACATTTATGGAGTGACTACTTTGTGTTGCATTCTAGAAATACAAGAATGTGGCAGAGATGGAGTGAGGTGTGTATAGTTGGCAGAAGTACACACATGAAAATGTTAATGAAGTGACACGATATGTCCTAAGTGTCATGTGGATAGTATGAACAATACTTTCAGAGGAAAAATGCTGTAGAAATCTGCATTATGCTAAAACATGTTAAAAAAGGAAAGTTTAAAGAAATTTCTGATACTGATCTGATTTCAAAGAAGATATTAAATTATAGCTCACCTTTTCTGAGAAAATAGCTACTTACTAAGTCTTTTCATCTCATTTATTTAGAATATATAATAAAAATATTAATGATTTACACACAGAAAACTACTCAAAGAAGCACTAAAGACTATAAGGAAGATAGAACATAGAAAGGATTTAGATCATCCCTATCAAGGCAATTTCAAATCAGTCATCTTAAGGAAAAAGACATCTAATTTGTTTTTTTCTAGAAAGCTTTCCTAGGCTGTCCTAAAATCTGCACAATTGTCTTGTAATTTATGTTAAATTCTTATTCAGATGCAGTAATTTTGGCCATATCTAAGTCATGATTTAGTAGATTAACCTGTAATTTTTTTTGTTTTGGGAGGGAACTTTTTTTTTTTTCTCAATTGGGTTCATTGTCTCCCAGGCTGGAGTGCAGTGGCATGATCATTTCTCACTGTAACCTTTACCTTTTGAGCTCAGGCAGTCCCCTCATCTCAGCCTCCCTAGTGACTGGGACTCTAGTCATACACCATTATGCCCAGCTAATTTTTTTGTAGAGACGAAGTCTAGCTGTTGCCTAGGCAGTCTTAAACTCCTGGGATCCAGCAACCCTACTGCCTCAGCTTCCCAAAATGTTGGGATTACAGGTGTGAGCTGCTATGCTCACAAGGAAGAAACTTTTTTGTTTTTATTTATTTATTTTGAGTCGGAGTCTCACTCTGTCACCCAGGCTGGAGTGCAGTGGCATGCTCACAACCACTGCAGCCTCAACCTGCTGGAGTCAGGTGATCCTTCTACCTCAGCCTTTCAGGTAGCTAGTTGACTGACGAAATTTTTGACTTATTGTAGAGATGAGGTCTCACTAAGTTGCCCAAGCTGGCCTCGAACCTGTGGGCTGAGACAGTCCTCTCACCTTGGCCTCTCAAAGTGCTGGGATTATAGCCGCGAGCCACTGTACCCAGCCTAGGAAGAAACTTTTTTATACTTCATTACTGTCATTTTATTTTTTAAAATGTTAAATCGAAGTCATTATTATTTCAAATGAGTCACTTAATAGAAACGTTCATTCATTTTTTCATTTTTGTAATGCATCACTGTTAAATTATTTACCTTTATCATTTTAACCATTGTAAAGATATATTTGAGGTATAATATAGCTAGACGTGCATTCAGTTACTGTTCTAACAATTATTGAAGTGAATTCCATTTTCAAAAAGACCAACCATAGGAAAGTATTAGTATAATGATTTCATTCATCCTGGATACTTACTAAGCATCTTGTGTGTACTAGGCACTGTTTTAGTATTGAGGATACAGTACTGAATAGAAAAGCTTTTCCTTCTCAAAGAGCTTACTAAAATTGAGCAAAGATAGAGTAATATAATAAGCAATATTATTTTCTGTAGTGTTAAGTGTTTTGGGGGAAGGAAGCAGAATAATGTGATAAAAGCGATAGTTTGTAGGTAGGGAGGGGCTATCACGCCCGGAAACTTTTGATTTATTGTAGGTCTTATCAAGTTGCCCGGGCTGGTCTCAAACCCTCAGGCGCAGGCAATTCACTCACCTAGGGAGGAACAAGCTTTAATTTTGTCATTAACTTAGAATATGACCATAGACGTCATTTTTGCCTCTCAATTCACTTAGTTTTCTAATTTCTAAAATGCAAGTAATCCATAATGTAGCATTCTAAGATTTAAAAAAATTATGGTTGTATTTAAAAAGAAAAACAAATGTTTTTGTTGAAGTATACAGATTGATACAGTAATATATGTTCTTCTTAAGTGTAAGGCTCATTTTTACAAAGTAAATTTATTCCTGTAAGTACCTAGACCAGAATATAGAAATTGCCTGCACTCAGAGAGCTTCCTTTTTACCTCATTCTAGTCTTTTTTTTTTTTAATCTTATATGATTAAAAAAATACAGAACATTTTATGAATTTTTGTGTCACTCTTGACAAGGACCATTCTAATTTTCTTTGTATTGTTCCAGTTTTAGTATATGTGCTGCCCAAACAAGCACTTCAAATGTAATTCATATCATTTCAACTTATGCCATCATAGAGTTTACTCTTGTTTATTTTTTAAATAGCTTTGTTGAGATATAATTTATATAATGTAATTTGCATATCATACAATTACCCATTTCAAGTAGACAGCTTAAGGGTTTAAGTATACATAATACATAGTTTAAGCCTATTTACAGCATTGTGCAACTATCACCACAGTCAATTTTAAAACATTTTCATCACATCCAAAACAATCATTCTCATTTCTTAATACTCCCATTCCCATCCAAAGGCAACCACTAACCTTTCTATCCTATAGATTTGCCTGCTCTGGACATTTCATTTAAATGGAATTATGCAAAACTTGGTCTTTTGTGACTGCTCTTTAATTTAGCATTACATTTTCAAGGTTCATTCATATTGTGGTATGTGAGCTTTTATTTAAATTGGTGAATACTATTCCATTTTATGGATATACTGCATTTTATTCATTTATCAGTTGATGGATGATTGGGTTGTTTGTGAGTAATGCTGTTATGAACATTTATGTATAGGTTTTTGTTGTTTATGTGTTTTCCTTTATTTGGGGTATAGACCTAAGGAGTGTAATCGCTGAGCCAAATGGTCACTCTGACTTTTGAGGAACTGCTAAACTTATTTCTCAAGTGACTGTGTCATGTTACACTTCCCCCATTCCAGAGTGATTGGATCATTTTTATTCCTATTACTAGTGAACATAAGCTTATTTGCTCTTCATTCTTACTACTTCTTCCACTTTAAAAAAATTTTTTTTTTGAGTGGGAGTCTTGGTCCATCGCCCAGGCTGGAGTGCAGTGGCACACTCACGGCTTTCCCAGCGTTAACCTGCTGGGTTCCCGCAATCCTTCCATGCAGCCGGAACTACAGGCACGTGCTACCATGCCTGGCTAATTTTTTATTTATTGTAGTGGCTCAGTCTTGCCAAGTTGCCCGGGCTGGTCTCGAACCCGCAGGCTCAGGCAATTCACTTGCCTGGGTCTCCCAAAGTGCTGGGATTATAGGCTGAGCCATTGAGCCCAGCCTTCCACCACTTTTTATTGTTAGGGTTTTGGTTTGTTTGTTTAGCCATTCTGGTGTATATGCCAGTTGAGAATCCCTAATCCAAAATGCTTGGGATCAGAAGTGTTTTGGATTTCAGATTTTAGAATATTTGCATCAAACTTACTGGTTGAGCATCCCTAATCCAAGAATCTGAAATGCTCCCAGGGGCATTTCCTTTGAGTGTCATGTTGGTGCTCAAAAATTTTCAAATTTTGACAAAAATTGATAACTGGGATCTAATTAATCTGAAGAACTTCTGTACGGCAAAAGAAGCTGTCAACAGAATAAATAGACAGCCTACAGAATGGGAGAGAATATTTGCAAACTATGCATCCAACAAAGGACTAATCCAGAATCTATAAGGAACTTAAATCGACAAAAAAAAGACAGCCCCATTAAAAAGTGGGCAAAGTATATGAACAGACACTTCTTAAAGGAAGACATACAAGTGGCTAACAAACATGTAGAAAAATGGTCAACATTACTAGTCTTCAGAGAAATGCTTGTCAAAACCACAATGAGATACCGTCTCACCCTGCCAGAATGGCTATTGCTAAAAAATCAAAAACAACAGATGTTGGCAAGGTTCAGGGAAAAGGAAATGTTCATATACTACTGGTGGGAGTGTCAACTAGTTCAGCCCCTGTAGAAAGCAACTTGGAGATTTCTCAAATAACTAAAAATAGAATTACTACTTGACCCAGCAACCCCACTACTGGGTATATACTCAAAGGAACATAAATCATTCCACTAAAAAGACACCTGCACTCATGTTTATCACAGCACTGTTCACAGTAGCAAAGGCATGGAACCAATCTAGGTGCTCATCAGTGGTGGATTGGATAAAGAAAAGGAGGTATGCTACGGAATACTATGCAGCCATGAAAGAGAATGAAGTCATGTACTTTGTAGCAACATGGATGCAGCTGGAGGCCATTATTCTAAGCAAATTGATGCCGAAACAGAAAACCAAATACTGCATTTTGTAAGTAGGAGCTAAACACTGGATATGCATGGTCATAAAAGATGAGAACAAACACTGGGGACTCTGAAAAGGGGGAAGGAGGAGGAGGACTGAAAAATCACCTATTGAGTACTACATTGGAGCAAGAGTTGAGTAACTACCTATTGGGTACCATATTCCCTGTTTGAGTGACAGGTTCAACAGAAGCCCAAACTTCACCATCACACAATAATCCCATGTAACAAACTTGCACACATATCCCCTGAATTTAAAATTTTTTAAAGTTTTGGATTTTTGGAGCATTTTGGATTTTTGGATTAGGGGTTTTCAACCTGTAGTGCATTTTCTTGATGAGCAGTGATTTTGAGCACCTCTGCAAAGTGCCAAATAGTAAATATTTAAGGCTTTACAGGCCATACTCTCTGTCCTAACTACTCAACTCTGTTGCTGCAGTGTGAAAGTGGCCATATTCAACAATACCTCAACAAATGAGGGTGGTTGTGTTTTAATAAAACTTCTGTCCTTGTGATTTTTTGACTATATAAGTAGAATAATACAGTATTTGTCTTTTTGTGGCTGGCTTATTTTACTTGGCACACTGTACTTAGGGTTTGTCCATGTTGTAGTATATGTCAGAATTTCATCCCTTAAAGTCTGAGTAATATTTTGTTGTATATATACCGTATTTTGCTTTTTCACTTGCCTGTTGATGGACACTTGGGATATTTCTATGTTTTAGCTATTGTGAATAATGGTGTTATGAACATGAGTGTTCAGGTATCTCTTTTAGACCCTGCTTTCAATTGTTTAGTTACTTGTTAGCTTGTTTAGATGAGTGATAAAGCCATGAGCTTTGTGGGCTTTGTTTTATCTGTCAATCACATGGAATGGCAGATTCTAAAATGAGTAATCCTTGAATTTAGCTGTAGTGATCTCCAGTGCTGTGTACATTTCATCTTTATAGCCAAGTAGCCATATAGAATTTTTGTATTGAGGTAAAATATGCAGGTAAAATTTACTGTCTTTACCATTTTTAAGTATACAGTTCAGTGGTGATAAATACATTTTCTCCCCTTTGTTCCTCCCCTCCCCTTTTTCCTTCCTGGTCAGTGGTGACCACCATTCTACTCTCCATCTTTGTGAGATACATTTATTTAGCTCCCACACGTGGTTGAGAACATGGGATGATTGTCTTTCTGTGCTTGGCTTATTTTACTTGACTTAATGGCCTCCAGTTCCATCCATGTTGCTGCATGTATGACTGCATAATATTCCGTGATGTATATATACCAAATTTTCATTTTCCATTCATTTGTGGGTGGACACTTAGGTTGATTCCCTATCTTGGTATTGTGAATAGTGCTGCAGTAAACATGGGAGTGCAGCTATCTCTTTGATATATTGGTTTCCTTTCTTGTGGATATATACCCAGTAATGAGATTGCTGGATCATATGGTAGTTCTATTTTTAGTTTTTTGAGGAGCCTCCATACTGTTCTCCACAGTGACTGTACTAATTTACATTCCTGCCAACAGTTTGCAAGAGGCCCTCTTTCTGCACATTCTCTCCAGCATCTGTTATTGCCTTTTAGACACAGGCATTAGATTTGCATTTCTCTGATGATGAGTGCTGAGCATTTTTCATATACCTGTTGGCATTTGTATGCCTTCTTTTGAGAAATGTCTGTTCACATTTTTTGCTCATTTTTAAGACAGGATTGTTTTTCTTGCTATTGAGTTGTTTAAGCTTCTTGTATATTCTGGTTATTAATTCCCTGTCAGATGAGTAGTTTGTAGATATGTTCACCCATTTTGTGGGTTGTCTCTTCACTTTGCTGATAGTTTCCTTTGCTGTAGAGAAGCTTTTTCAGCTTATTGTAATCCCAGTTGTCTATTATGGCTTTGATTGCCTTTGCCTTTGAGGTCTTATACAAAAAGATCTTTGCCTAAACTAATATCCTGGAACATTTCCTCAATGTTTTCTTCCAGTAGTTTTACAGCTTCAGGTTTTAGATTTAAGTCTTGAATCCAAGACTTAGTTTTAGTTTTTATGTATGATGAGAGATAGGGGTCTAGTTTTATTCTTTTGCATATAGTTATCCAGTTTTCCCAATACCATTGCTTGAAAAGACTATCTTTTCTGTACTGTATGTTCTTTGTGCCTTTGTTGAAGATGAGTTGGTTGTAAATATGTGGATTTATATCAGGGTTCTCTGTTCTGTTCCATTAATCTGTGCCTGATATTATGCCAGTACCATGCTGTTTTGGTTACCACCGTTTTGAGGTAAACTTTGAAGCCAGGTAGTGTGATAAAGTCAGCTTTGTTCTTTTTGTTCAGGATTGTGTTGGCTTTTTGGTGTCTTTTGTGGTTCTATATAAATTTTAGGACTTTTTTCCTACTTTTATGAAGAATGTCATTTCAATGAATATGTACCAGTAACTCACCATTTTCAATTATTCATATAACTCACATCAAAATTTCTACTTTGAGTCATTAAGTATGGTTTTCAATTTTAATTTCTTAGATTTACTCATCTGATACTTAGTTTAGATAAGGTAAACTTACATAAGTTTTAAAATGTGTTATTTTCTGAATTTCTGAAACAAGGCAATTTGTTTACTAAAGTTAAAACTTTAAATGGAGAGATAATATAAAAAATAAATGTGCTTCTAGCCTTATGGCATAACTGGAATTACAAAGGATTTTTATTTCTTTGCATTTTTGAGTTGTGTAATGGGTTTTTAAAAATGATAAGGTTTTGCCAAGTTAAAAACTAGGTCCATGTGTATTTACATGTGTGCAAATTTTCTGAAACGGTACAGATTTGATTTCTTGCTGCTCTTTTAGCTTCTTGGGATAATGAGAATAATTGGAATTAATGATTGTGCGGGGGGAATACATATATTTGACAGAACTAGAAGAACAGACTCGGAAAGCTCTAGAGCTGGATCAGGAACGAAAACGAGCAAAAGAAGAAGCAGAACGGCTTGAAAAGGAGCGTCGAGCTGCAGAAGAGGCCAAGTCCGCAATCGAAAAACAAGCTGCCGACCAGATGAAAAACCAGGAACAGCTGGTAAGGAGCTGGCTTCGGTCTGTCTCAGAGAAAAAGAAAAACTTAAACAAACCCTTAGTGTGAACCTTCTAAAAGAAAAGCTGTACTTTCTGGAAAGCAAACCCAGATACGAATAACTTGATAACAGAATGTGGAAGTAAACCTAAAACTCTTATTTCTGACTTAAAAAGACATCCTAAAAACAGAACAGCATAAAATATATTTTTCTATAGATTATTTGTAAGTGGAGCCCGTTGCCAACAAAAGATTTCGATTCACTTTGACTTTGGACAGGCTGTACTACAAGTCGTTGGACATCTTTTGCTTTAGATAAATTGACACAATATGTTATAGCTCCTACAAGATAGGAACTGTATAGGCCATACTTGGTTGAGACTTTTGTTTACTTAGTGGACATACAAATAAAGGCATGTCCCTTAGAAGATCCTGGATTTAAATGTCAATTCAGACATTTACTTGCTGTGTATCATTGGGTCTTTTTGAGCCTCAGTTCCTTTCCTTTGCAAAGAGGAGTGGTGGCTGGTCGCAGTGGCTCACGCCTATAATCCCAGCACTTTGGGAGGCCTAGGTGAGAGGATTACCTGAGCCTATGGGTTCGAGACCAGCCTGGGCAACTTGGCGAGACCTCATCTTTACAGTAAATCAAAAAATTCGCTGGGCGTGGTGGTGCATGCCTGTAGTCCCAGCTACTTGGAAGACAGGTGGAAGAATCGCCTGAACCCACCAGGTCAAGGCTGCAGTGGCCATGAGCGTGACAATGAACTCCAGCCTGGATGACTCAAAAAAAAAAAAAAGAATGAAAGAAAGAAAAAGAGGTGTAGTACTACCTATTAGGATTATTGGGGAATTAAATAGAGGATTTGACAAAGTTCTCTTATATCCAAATATATATTTTTTTGTAGACCTTAGCAAATAGTTTGTTTATGGATTAATAATAATATTTCCTAATATTACACATTTTAAGCTCCTGCTGCTAAGAAAGTATTAACTACTTGTCTGTAGAATAATAATATCTTCTTATTAGCTCATCACCCCAAGGACCAACTATAAATAAGCTATTTAGGATCTTAAGAAATACTACCCTTTTTAAGATGAAGCCTGGCTAAGAAAAACATATAAAACAGCCCAAGCATATGCATTAAAGCTTTGTTGACTTAACATATCACAAGATTATTCAATATTTTTTTTTTTTAGTAATTGCATTTTTTATTTTAGGCAGCCGAACTTGCCGAATTCACTGCCAAGATTGCACTTCTAGAAGAAGCCAAGAAGAAAAAGGAAGAGGAAGCTACTGAATGGCAACACAAAGTAATCATTTGTTATTTACTAGCTTTTACTGAATAGCTATTTTGTACCCAGCAGTATGCCCAGGAGCATGCTGATTTTATAGAGATAAATATAAAATACTGTTATAAGTAACGGGGAAAAAATGCTTGTGTGTGTGTGTGTGTGTGTGTGTGTGTGTGTGTGTGTGTGTGTGTGGTGTGGGTGTGTTAAATATTTAACTGTTGATGTCAATTAAGTACTTGGAGAACACAGAAGAGGTAATTAATTTCTGGAGGAACAAAAGCAAGTGTTAGGGAAACCCGTGTGCCAACAATTTGCATAACAGTTTTAGCAACAATTGATAATCCTTGATTATTGATTCTGGGCTTACAATTAGTAATCAGGCCTTGCAAAATGATGTTTAAAAATTTTCTCTCTTACTGGGTGTAGTGGCTCACACCTGTAATCCCAGCACTTTGGGAAGCTGAAACAAGGGAATTGCTTGAGCCCAGAAGTTCAAGACCAGCTTGGGCAATATAGCGAGATCTGTACAAAAATTAAAAATAAAGTCGGGCTTGGTGACTCAGCCTATAATCCCAGCACCTTGGGAGGCCAGGGCGAGTGGATTGCCTCAGTCCACTGGTTCGAGACCAGTCCGGGCAACTTGGCAAGACCTTGTCTCTACAATAAATTAAAAAAAAAATGAGCTGGGTGTGGTAGCACACACCTGTAGTTCTGGCTGCTTGAAAAACTGAGGCAGGAGGATCGCTGGAGCCTAGCAGTCGACCCCGGGGTGACCATGAGTGTGCCACTGCACTCCAGCCTGGGCGACAGAGTGAGACTCCATCTTCAAAAAAAAATCCAGGTGTATGGCATGTGCCTGTAGTTTTAGCTACTCAGGAGGCTGAGGTAAAAGGAACTCCCAATCCCTGGCAACTGAGGCTGCAGTGAGCTGTGATTGTGCCACTCCTCTCCAGCCTGGGCAATAGAGTGAGACCCTGGTTCAAAAAACATTTTTGGCTGGCTCAGCCTGTAATCCCGCGCTTTGGGAGACTGAGGTGAGTCGATTGCCTGAGCCCGCAGGTTCAAGACCCGCCTGGGCAACTTGGCGAGACCTCATCTCTACAATAAATCAAAAAATTAGTCGGGTGTGGTAGTGCGCGCCTGTAGTTCCAGCTACTTGGAAGGCTGAGGTGGAAGGACCGCCGGAGCCCAGCGGGTCGAGGCTGCGGTGGCCGGGAGTTTGGGCCACAGAGTGAGACTCCAACTCAAAACCAAAACAAAACATAAAAACAACAACATTTTTTTGCCTCTCTCTTACCTGCTGTCATTCTTCTCTAAAAACAGAGCTTTAATCACTAGGGTTTATTTTCATTACCCTGAAATGTAGTTTCTATAAGAAGGATGGGATAATGAGTCTGTTAATGATTGATTTTTAAAGGAAGTTGCTCATGAACTTATTTTTAATGTTCAGGCGTTTGCAGCCCAGGAAGACTTGGAAAAGACCAAAGAAGAGTTAAAAACTGTGATGTCTGCTCCCCCTCCCCCTCCCCCTCCACCAGTCGTTCCTCCAACAGAAAATGAACATGATGAACATGATGAGAATAATGCCGAGGCTAGTGCTGAATTATCGAGCGAAGGGGTAATGAACCATAGAAGTGAGGAAGAACGTGTAACAGAAACACAGAAAAACGAGCGTGTTAAGAAGCAACTTCAGGTATTTAACATTTGCAGTCGTATGCACATTGAAAATGCAGTTTGCGTTTTTTTCACCTAAGACAAGCTTATTTAAAAGAGCATATGATTTTTCTAGAAGCCTTTAACACTAACTGGCTTGTCATTGGCTTGTGTTTGGTCTACAGACATGCTATTTCATTTGTTCCTTTGTATGACCCCATTAGCAAATGTTTGTTAGCTTTGTGTAATCAAGCCTTAACTAGTGAGTTATTTAATTAGAGCTTGACCCATTTTAAAAGGTAGAAAACATTCTAATGCTGTTTAAAAAAACAAGTGAATTTAGTTTTTGAACAGTAAAATGTACATTGAAAACCCATGATACTTAGTAGATTACCTTTAAGGCATTATGTAATCTTAATTATTGGTTTAGATTTTATTTATTTATTATTATTATTTTTTTGAGTTGGAGTCTCACTCTGTTGCCCAGGCTGGAGTGCAGTGGCATGCTCATGGCCACCGCAACCTCTACCTGCTGGGCTCAGGCGATCCTTCCTCCTCAGCCTTCCAAGTAGCTGGAACTACAGGCACGCGCCACCTCGTCCGGCTAGTTTTTTTTGTGATTTATTGTAGAGACGAGGTCTCACCAAGTTGTCCAGGCTGGTCACGAACCCCCGAGCTCAGGCAATCCTTTCACCTCGGCCTCCCAAAGTGCTGGGATTACCGGCTAAGCCACTGCGCCCAGCCTTATTTAGATTTTATATAGGCAAAGGTCAGTTTATTCAATGGACATTATTAGATCAAAATAGGGAATTTTATTATTATGAGACCTTGCTTTTTTTCCTGATGTTATCTAATATTTTAGTTGGTGAAATCTTCAAATGTTAAGAAAAGAAAACGAGGCAATAGTTGCAATAAATATGTTAAGACTTTTGGAGGAAGCATCCCTCATGGTATAGATTTTGAATCTTATAGTAACATTACTGTGTTATGGCTACATTGAACTTCTTTGTAAGTCATCTCAAGGATTGGATGAGAAAGTTAAGGAAACTTAGAATAATATACAAAAAATCATGGTTGATGAATATAGAATGAAAGGCTGTGGGTCTTCCTTTCTTACCGCTATCATCATCATCATGAAAGTAAAACAAACTTACACACTTTAAAGAAAAAAGTTTCACCGTGGAAATGTTAATAATTAAGTCAGAGATTTGGTATGTGTACTTTTACATCTTTAAACCATTTTCATAAATTTTAAAAATCTTAAGTAAAAAGTAATAGTCATGCTTTTTATTTTTTAAATATAGGCTTTAAGTTCAGAATTAGCACAAGCCAGAGATGAAACCAAGAAAACACAAAATGATGTTCTTCATGCTGAGAATGTTAAAGCAGGCCGTGATAAGTACAAGACTCTGCGACAAATTCGGCAAGGCAACACGAAGCAGCGTATTGATGAGTTTGAAGCAATGTGAGAGCTGTTATTTTGCATACATGTTCTTCATAAGCTGAACCACCAACAGAGAAAAGCAGGCCTTTGCAGATGTGATGGAATGCATCCCACCTTGCCAAAGCACTTGTACCAGTTTGACTGTGGTGGCTAAAGACAAATTACGGGGAGCGGGAGCTCTTCAACATTAAGGCAGTGTGATGTCGTGCTTGGTTTTCTTTTTCCTTTGGGCCGGGGAATGGAGAATGGTGTTCCATCACTTCCTTTCACACTTTTCATTTTCTTTCTTTCTTTTTTTTTCTGTTGAAGATTAGCACTAATTATCATGTCTGACAAATGTGTCTGTGTGGTTTGAGCACTTTGTACATTTTAAAGGATGATGGTGGATAGTTGAACGAGTGTTTCCCATGCCCCTTCCATACTTAACCTACATATGTTCCTCATTCTCACTCACCCATGTCTTCTCAGTGTGCCCTTCTCATACCCTGCCATGCCCATAGCCATAGTTCTGCCACCAGACAGTTAAGGTAGTGTTTACAATGATGACAGGCAGCAGAGTGGACAGTCTTTGGGATCAGTGTCTAGAAGTTGGTTATGAATCATGAAGGGAATTAGAACTCCTGACAGTGCGGTGTACAACTGGTAGGTAACTTTTTTTAATCCCAGTATAATTGCATTATTGGATATTTGATATTTGCTTAATTACAGTCATCTTTGACGGCTAAATTGATTGGTGTTTCATCTCCTATATATAACTCTTGATGGTTTCCTTTGCCTGCCAACTCGCTGAGGTATAGACATCAGTAGTATAGTTCACTAGGAAAGTTTATTGATGAAACAGTCTACAAGATTTTAAAAGTTTTGTTCTTTTATAGATTGATTCAGATAAACAGATGATTAATAAAAGAAAGTACACACATGTTGGTAATTGACTTGAACCATTTTTAAAACTGAATCTTTTTGAAAGGACAGCCTATGAAAACATCAGTCCCCAGGAGGGGACAGTAATACTACCTCACAATGACACTTGCGATGACTGGTTGTTCAAACACATTGGAAATGTGTAAACTGTGTGTTTTATAATTCATCGTCATAGTCTCAATCATGAAGGAATACTTTTGAAATTTCATTTTCCTTCAGAACTAGAGCGCTAAGTTTTTAACTGCCTTTTGTTGAACTGTGGGATGCTGATTTGTATTAAAATTGTAAGCTCTCACTGGTATACCATCTTCCTGGAGGGGTGTTGTGTGACTGAGGAGGAAGCTGTGTGTGTGTGTGTGTGTGTGTGTGTGTGTGTGTGTGTGTGTGTGTGTGTGTGAGAGAGAGAGAGAGAGAGAGAGAGAGAGAGAGATCTTACCCTTGTAGTATATGAAGAATGTCTATATCTTTATTTCTTGATATGATAGATACATAATCATTTTAGTGTATTTGGTTTCTAAATCACTGTGCTTATTTTTTTCAATTTCTAACTAAAAATACATGAATTTGGTTTGTTAATCCTATTTTAGAAATTATAATTTTAGTTTATATTCATTTCAATTATATCTTACTGAAGAAATCTTTCCAGTTAGAAAGATGTTGTAATATCCACGTTATAATATTTTCTTTACTGTAAAACACCTAGATTTGAAGATATATGAAGCCTTGTTTTCTCTGTGTGGTTCAGCTACTTTCCATTTGGTATGACACACTCAAATTTACATTTATCTATTAAAATTGCCATTTTATTAAACATTTTTTTCATGCACAGTAGATTAAATTGTGTCAGAAAATATCTCTTGTGCTTTTTTGATTTTTGCTGACTTTAAAAGGATTAATCTGGGCAGACATTATGAAAAGGAAAGGTTGCATTTAATATATTTTGGGGCTTAGTAGTCCAAAAGATAACTGGCTAACCTTGAAGTAACTGTTGTACCATGGTCGTGCTCATGCTTCAAAACCCTGCAGAAGAGAATGTTCCTGCTTGGCACATCAGAGGACTAGACAGCGGATTAGGAATAGACAATGCTGTCCATGCTTTGAAACATCAGCATTCACTCTAAAGCAATTGCCATAATCGGTGAAAACCTGGACTTCACTGGATTTTTATTAATTTTCTTAATTTTGAACTGTGCGCACTACCATTGCTGCATCAGTATGACGCAGTGTTGAAAAATGACCAGTTATATTTGCTGTTCATAATCTATTTGTAGATTAGGTTAAAATGGATTTAATCCATTTTTACACGCTGTGTGAATTTTTCTAAACAAGAACAACCATTTGCAACATGGATTTTCATAGGGATTAAACCAATCATAACTTTTATTAGCAGTTGAGAACACATGTTCATGTAGCAATGTAAAAATACACTAATTACTTTTTGGTAAATTCCAATAGATTTTGACAATGAGCATAATTTTGTGTTGTACAATTAAGTTGCAAGTATACATCTCTAATTTTGGATAATATTCATTGATTAACAATAAAGTGACAAAAGCTCATGCCTTTAAGGTTCACTGTTGTTATTTAACATGGATTTCTTGTATATTTTCTGGAAATTATAATCTCTGTCAGAGCCAGGAATCAAAACATCTTAAAAGTGAGACATGGATAAGATAGGAAAAAATTTAAATTCTCACAGACTTACTCTTTTCCCGAAATTGTACCTCTTTTAGTATGCAAGTAATAGTGATTAATTCTGTGGAAAAGTTAAATCATTACATCAAATGGACTCTTGACAACAGAAAGTAATTCAGGATTTCCAATCATTGCTTTTATTGTATAGTGTCCAGTTTTTTTTCCCCTGAGCAAAATACAGTTTCTTGTCATTGATTCCTCTCACTATTAAAACTCTATTCTTTAAAGAACTGTATGCTAAGTGCATTTATTTAAAAACTGTTTTATAGCTGTGTTACAGAGAAGTTCATATAAACCTCAAAGTTAATTGCCTTTTTCAAATTTTCTTACTAATTTTTAGCATGATTCTTAAACAAGTGACAAATCTACTTTAAAAATAGTAAAAGCCAGGTATTTTCTTAAAGTCTTTTTTTTACCTCCTGAGTCAGAGTCTCACTCTGTCACTCGGGCTTGATTACAGTGACATGATCACAGCTCACTACAGCCTCAAACTCCTGTGCTCAAGCTATCCTCCCACTTTGGCCTCCTGTTAGCCAGGACTACAGGTAAGCGCCTTCACCCCCAGATCATTTTTTTATTTTTATAGAGATGAAGGCACATTAGGTTGCCTAGGCTGGGCTCGGACTCCTGGGCTCAAGCAGTCTTCTTGCCTCAGCCTCCCAAAGTGCTAGGATTACAGGCATGAGCCACTGTGCCTGGCCAATATATAGTAATATTTTATTGTAACTTTATTCTCAAGAGGAGGTAGTCATTTCTTTACTCTGATCCTGTCAGGGGGTTAAAGGGAATTTTATACGATAATATTTTGCTTTATATCATCTAATTAGAATTTTTAAGAACTAGAATTACCACTTACAAAGTTATCTTAGATCTTATTGGAACTTACTCTTGATTATCATTAGAAAGTGTTTCAATATTAGTGGTTGTGATTTAATAAAACAAAACAAACATATTCCTGTCATATTCTTTCCCAATTTTCGTCACCTTATTGATTGGTGATGTTTTTAGAAATAAAGATAATTTTTTAAATTCAAAAGCTTCCCATTTTATGTATCCACAATAAAACCAATTAGCAAAGGCTGAAACTGAAGTATAAGGAATTACTACATTTAGCATTAGTTTACTGAACTGATTAGTAAACCAAGGTTTAGATACCATTAATAAGAATAAGGGAAAACAGTTTAATGTGCAGCTGCACTGGTAGATTCCTCTCCTGTCTGTCCTAAATGAACAGAACTTTAGTGTTTTCTCATTTTGTACCTTCCTTTCTTCACTAGACAATGACCCACCTGTCAAAGATTCTAACGTGGTCTATCATGTGGAATGATGGTATTCCAGCATATTTGAAAGCCCAGTACAATTCTGCAGATGTTTTGATACTTCAGGCAGTCTAACTCTTCACAGTCTACACCAGCAGCTAGGAAAAACTGGCTCATCGTAGTGTTCCATATGCCAAAGTTTATCACATTCTCATCCTTGGTTTCTCCCATTTTTTCCTTAGTAGACCTATTTAATATATCCCTCTCTCAAGATTTAAGAGCTGCCATTTTCCCTGTGGAAAGATCGTGATTCTCTGCTTTGTCTCTTCAATACTCTGACTTCCCTTATACTCTGTGGTATGAGAGTTTCCTAATTAGTTACATATACTACCTTAGAAGTTGAAGTATCCATCATTCTGAAACATTTTAAAGTTAAAGATCATGACTAATAAAATTATCCCAGGACACGCCATTTGCATTCAGGTTATGTTTTGGCTTTGGAGAGCCCTGGCTATGCAGTGGCTATAGGTTCTTGTTTAATGATCTTTATTTAGCCAATACATTTTCACTAAGTGCCTGCTATTTCGAGGACTTAGAAGCAAGATTAGAATGGCTGTGACCCTTTGTTTTGGCCTAACTTCAAATATTACTGTATCTTAGCTCTTAGATCATTACTTTTATCAATTACAGTATGATTTCTTTTAAAATGACAGTGTTATATGTTGTTGATTCATGTTATTTGTATGCCCAGATTCCTCCGTGCTTGTAGCCCATTGCTTCTGTGAAATTTAAGTTATTATTTTTGTTACCCTATTGTAATTGTTCTGCACTTTCATTTAACGATTATTTTAAAAATTTGGATTCATTTTTATATTTATGCATGTCAGTTTGCTTCTAAAAAATAGTGATACTGGTTTTATTATTTTTTTTCTTTACTAAATCAGTACAGCCAAATGTCCATCTTCCTAGCAGTAATGTGGTATCAAAATTTCTGAGATGATTATGTGACTATCTCTTGAAAAGTTCCTTCTGATAAAACGTGGATGTGTTACAGGAAATTCTTTTTACACTGTGTTATAATGTATGTCATGATATCCCTTCCAGTTTTTTCAACTTAAGATATTTTAGGTTTTTTTAGACTCTGAAATACATGTATTTCTTAGAATCATAAGGCAATGTCTCCTCCCTCTCTTTTTTTAACATTTATATCAAAAAGGCTATGAAAGTCAAGTCTAGCATTGAATCCTGTATACCATCATTGCATTTATGTGATTATTTACTTTAAAATTTTAGTTCTTGGCTGGGTGTGCTGCCTCAAGCCTGTAATCCCAGCACTTTGGGAGGCCGAGGTCAGGGGATTGCCTGAGCCCACGGGTTTGAGAACAGCGTGGGCAACTTGGTGAGACCTCATACCTACGATAAATCAGAAATTAGCCAAGCGTGATAGCGCGCGCCAGTAGTTCCGGCTACTTGGAAGGCTGAGGTGGAAGGATCGCCGGAGCCCAGGGGGTCGACGCTGGGGTGGCGGTGAGCGTGCCACTGCACTCCAGCCTGGGTGATGGAATGAGACTCCAACTAAAAAAATTTTAGCTCTGTGGCTAAAAGATGCAGTTGTGAGATGAAGGAAGGTACTAGAGTGTAAGGAAGATCAATAGCAGAAAAATTAATGACTGATGGAGAATATGAATAGTTAGTATTGGGTTCTCAGTATGCTCATGCTCTGATACATTACTTAATGTGCATTTCATAGGTCATTTTAAACAACAGTTAATAAGGATACCCTAAAAGATAAAGTCTCTGATTTTAAAAGCTTTTCTAACTTTATAGGAAGACTCACCTTACACCGAACTGACAAACTAGTCAAGTATAGTAATTGGTAATTTCTGTAATAAATATTGAGAAGATTAATGGGTTTAGAGTTTTCAGTTTAATCTGCATTTCTTGATTATGGAATATGCATGACATAAACTTTGCCATTTTAATCATTTTCAAGTGTACAGTTCAGTGGCATTAAATACATTCACATTGTGCGACCATCACCACCATCCATATCCAGAACTTTTTCATCTCCCCACACTGAAACTCTGTACCCATTAAACAATAACTCCCCATTCCTCCCTCCTCCCCAGTCCCTGAAAACCACTGTTCTACCTTCTGTCTCTATGAATTTGTTTCTAGGTACCGCGTAAAAGAGAACTCATAAAATATTTGTCCTTTTGTGTCTGGTTTATTTCACTGGGAAGAGTGTTTTCAAGGTCCATCTGTGTTGTCACATATATCGGAATTTTATTTCTTTTTAAGACTAGACGATATGCCATTGTATGCACATACCATATTTTGTGTATCCATTCATCTACTAATAGACACTTGAGTGAGTTCTGTCTTTTAACCGTTGTGGATAATGCTGCCATGAACATTGGTGTATAAATATCTGTGAGAGTTCTACTTTCAGTTCTTTTGAGTACATACTCAGGAATGGAAATGCTGGATGATAGGGTAATTCTCTGTTTAATTTTCTGAGGAACTGTCATGTTATCTTCCATAGCAGATGTACCCTATTACATTCCCACCAGCAGTGCACAAGGGTCCTAATTTTTCCATTCGCCCACTAACTGTTTTTACTTTCTGGGTTTCTGGTTGGTTTGCGTGCTTGCTTGATTTTGATAATAGCCATACTGATGGTGAAGTAGTATCTCATTGTGGTTCTGATTTGCATTTACCTATGATATGTTTCCCTTTAATGGATATCTCTTTATGAGCTTATTGGCCATTTGTATATCTTCTTTGGAGAAACGTCTATTCCATTTTTGTCCATTTTAAAAAACTGAACTTTTTGTTGTTGAATTGTAGGAATTATTCATATTTGGGATTCAGGATATTAATTCCTCACCCCCAAGGTTCCCGGATGTTAATCCTTTATCAGATGTATGAGTTGCAAGTTTTCTCCCATTGTAGGTTACTGTTTCATATTTGATAGTGTTCTTAAAAGTTTTTAATTTCGATGAAGTCCAATTTGGTTTTCCTTCATTGCCAGTGTTTTTGGTTTTTTGTATTTTTTTTGAAGAGGAAAAATAGGTTTTGATGAAGAAGGTATTACTGAAAAAAGAGAGAAGAGAGAATATGCTTGGTGGTGAGTAGCTCTAGACTGTACAGAAAATGTGAGTCTCTGTGCACTGACTATAGGGTGGTAAAGATAGAGTGGGTTGGACCGGGACCTTATGGAGCTTGAATCCTGTGCTGAGGTGTTTTGTTTGATTTGAGGACAACTGGTGGCTTTGGGAAAGCACAGCTACAGAAAGGAATAATAACTAAACCTTGCTCAGAAAAGAAAATTCATACTGCTATGTAAGATATACTAGAAGGTACAGGATAAAGAACATGATAGAAGAAGGGTGTATACTATAGCTAGCCTGAGGAAAGGTTGTGGCCAAGGGAAGACATTTCAGGAGAACGGAAATGAAATTTTGAGAATTTAAAGGAAATGTCTAGATGTAATTTCCTCTCATGTTTGTATATTGTTCTTATTTGTAGTCGTATGTTTTCCTTCTGAACTTATTTTCCAAACGACCCCTTTTAGGACCCTTAAGACCTCAGTTTCTGTCCTT